ATTCTGAAAGCAATACTTGGTAATTCCATACATGCCTGATTCCTAAGAAAATGACCAATACAGTTAAAAAAAAAAAGGGTTTGTCATGTAGCAAAACACAATGGAGAAGTTTCTATGTTCTGTTGTTACTTGCTAGACTGGTTTCTAGAACCACGAAGAAGAAGAAATTCAGCAGATATGGACTTGGCTTCTTCAACTAAACCTTCACCTACATTGGAACTGAATGCCACTTTGGCTTCCAGATTCACCTGGGAATATTGTCTTCATCAGAATCATTACCTACAAGATCATATTTTAATGTACATGAACAAGGAAGAAGATTACCTGCTTAGACCAACAAGCCTTTGCAAATTCACCAAGCACAGATATGACACAGGCTTTAGCCTGCCGAAGTTGTGACTGCCTTCTTGTCATTGAAGCACGCTTCTTCTTCCTTTTCTTCTTATCCTTAGAAACTGTAATTCAAGAGACAAGCTGAGCACTAAAACCTAAAAATCACAGCCATTGTAATAATTAAAAACTCAAATGAAATCGAGTACATGACAATGCAGGCACAACAGACTCTGAATAAAATGAAGTTTACACAGAAAAAGATAAATGGCGAACCAAGTACATGGAGTGCGACAATGGTGTCATTCGGATTGGCTAGAACTCTAACAGCCCATGAGAGAAGTTCTCTGCTATCATCACGGTCTAACGACAGACCAATTAGTATTTTACTAGGGGAAGAAGCAAGCACCATTTTTTCCAGCCTATGCGCTCAGAGAGAGAAGAGAAGTTACTAGATTTGCTGGTTCTTGTCACATACACAGGCATGCATATGCATTGTGAGGTAAAGATAAGTAGGGGAAGGAAGAGAAGAATGATTGAGGTCAGTTAGAGTGTGAGGCCAACCCCATGTCCAATAGGATCATTCTTGTTGGAGAAGCATAGCATTGAACAGTGAAAAATATAGCAGAAAGAGATTAGAGTCTCTCTTCTCTCTCTCTGGTGACAATTAAGTGTTGTAGTTGGGTGCTTTGAGGATAAGCAAAGGTGGTGGGCACGTATTTGATTTATCTTGCTATCTAAGTCAAAAAAAAAACTTCCTCAAACTTAGTAAACAATGTGCCAATGAGATATATTTATTTATATGCCTTTGGTAGGAAAAAGGGTATTGGGGGTTATTTGGCAGTGTCTGAGAGAAGAGGCTCTCATCACTTTATAATCAATGAAGCTTTGAGAGGACACTAACTGTTTTTCTCTTTTTGGGAAGAAGAATAAAGTGCAATAGATTTCCGTAAAACTACCTGCACCTGTTTCGCTGTCAAGCCTTGTAACTTTGGCATATATATGCTTTCCATGCACCACAACACATCCTCAAGAATTATATTAAACTTAGAGTAATGGGGTCGTAAAAGTATGTATCCTCAATCATGAGCAAATAATACCATGAATTGCTTCCCAAGTTTAATTTTATCACTCAGCTAATTTCATTATTAATTAATTGAGCCCATAAATAAACTAATTTGAGTATTACTTAGAAGGTATGAAAATGGTTTTCCCTGTTTAATTTACATATATATTTGAGGTTAACATATTCAAATTAAATCCTGAATGTATTGTTAAAAGGTTGAATTTTATTTCTTTTCATTGAGTTTTTTTCTACAACAATATTGAACCGTTTTATATCAAGTTTTAGTGATACTAATAAATTTATATTTTTAAGAACTATCAAATCTTATTATTAAATTTAATCCAACAATTCACAAATTGCAACATCTATTTAATGGAAAGGGCATAACAGGCCAATTTTTGGGCCCAAACAGGAGAGGCCATTTGATATATATATATATATATATATTGTATGTATGTATGTATGTATGTATGTATGTATGTATGTATGTATTATGTGTGGGAAAATGTGTAAAACTGTTTTGAATAAAGAATAATGTTGTAATGATGTTTAAGTATAAGTAGCCTTAAAGCGAATGTAAAAACTCTCACATTGAATAAAATTAAGTTTAATAAATGGCATACATAATAAGATAAAAGAATTTATAAACTTGAGTTTTTATATTTTGAGTTAATAAACATGGTGTCTTCCACTCCTCATCGCCATTTGTTTTTTTCCCTTGGTTTGGGGTGGTGGTTTTCCCATTTGCAACAAATGAGATTTTTAAAAAGTGGAGCATGAATCTTTTAAAAATTTGAACACCAAATTTTGTAAGATACTGCATTGATTTTATGATAAAAAAGAATTTTAGAATATTCTTGAACTAATTGTCAAAGTTGAGCATGGGGTACAAATACAGTACTATTGCTTGAAGCATGGTTAAAAAATCATGAAGATTTTCCGTGTTAGATAGTATACGTATGGTGAACGAACTGGAACATGTGCTGGTATTACTGAAAAAAGGCAATTGAATCTGGTGGGTGTACAGTTAACTCAAATATAAATGAATAAATAAATAATGAATGTGAGGATCATTGTACGTTGTCCACAAGTCAAACATCAGAATCTCCATCTCGTAGTATTTGTCAAGTGGGGAAGGATCAGTGGTTGAATCAAATTTGATTTGACAAAACTTTAAGAAGTCTAAGTTAAAGGGACACCAAGTTTTGAAAGATGAGAATGTTGGAAATTAAAGATGAAGTGACAAAGATTAAAGTACACCTAAAGGATTTGGATTAGAGAACTGCCCAGACATGGATTCTCCATCCTCTTCGTTAAACCCCACCTAGCAGAAACTTGTAGCCATCTTACCACACACTCTCTTTTTGTCTTTTGTTTTTAGGAACACAAATCCTACATTCATAAAAGACATTTGCGTCTTCTCTAGCTTTTTCAGAGACATAGCTATAAAATTTACGTATAAATAAATATTTTGTGGATAAGACTCTCACCAGTCACGCAACTAAATAAAGATAAACCATCGTTTTTCAACTTATCTTTTTATCTATTAATTAATTGATCTATCACATATGTGTGTGTGGTTCACCACAAAAAGAAGAAGCTCTCAAAGAGATCACTTATAGTATATATAAATCATTTAACAACAAAATGATTCAAACCCACCATGATTATGTGGATAGTTTGGACCTGTTAATATAAAGTAAAATTATATTGTTTTGAAAAACGTTAAGATGACATTATATTAAAAAATATTTTAAGATATCGATTGCATTGGAAGAAATTTTCAGGAACATGTTTGTACATTAATCCTTTTTCCCTCTCCTTTTTCACTGCTTACATTTGTTTTCCATTCTTCATTTCCTTTAAAAATGCATGCAGCCTACTCAACTTAGTAAATTGAAAGATAGCCTTATTGTTAAAAAAAAAACAGAGAGAGCCTGCCTATTTTATATTTGGTGTAATTTTTTTTTCTGGCCAAAGTGTACACTTTTATTTAAAATTAACAAAACTAGCTGTATGCACATGCATAATTTAAAACCACATATTTTATATCAATTTTTTCCATAATAAACAATTCAAAATAAAAAACATTTAATCAATATATAATATAAAAATCATATTATTTATAATTTATAAATAATATAATTTATATGCAAAAAATTGTGCAGTAAAAAAAAAAGGAAAAATTGCAGTTTCAAGTAAAAAGGCTACCCCCCCCCCCCCACCCAAAAGAAAAAAAAAAAACCCCAAATAAAGGGGAAAGAAGAAGTAAAGTTGACACCACACACCCCGTTGTGTCCGAGATTGAAGTAGTATCCATTCCTAGCTTAGTCATGGCCGTAAAGCCCATCTACTTGTATATAGCCCAAAAAGTGATGCTCTAACTGGTCTCTGGATTGGTCCATTTGTTAGACAAGTTAACTTTAAATTAAGCCTCTAAAGTTGGTATAGAAATTAAACAATTAACTAATAATTAGTATAAAATTGAGATGGCAATGAATAAGAAATTGATTTGAAAATTTAAAATAATTTAATTTTAAGCCACTAATTCTTATGGATCAAACATCTAACGTCCAAAGGCATCTCAAGACAAATTAAACATCCACACATACTAATATTTTTGTTTGATTGATCTGACGGGTGAAATTAATTTCAATCAATATACAGTTTAGAAAATCTTTCGTGAATAGTTCAACTTCAGCTTTAGATGTTCAAACCCACCATTCCAGAAAACAGTTTATGCCCCACAAATTACAATTGTATTTCATACAGACCAGCTACAATTTCAACTGATTATACAGCTAATAAATGAATCATCATATTGTTGCTCAAATTGGTTTCGCCATTTTTTGCACCATTACCATGGCGCTTGTAAGGATCGTGCATCTTTTGCACCTCAAGAGCACTAAAAACACCATATCCACCATTGGTTTCATCTTCATCATCATCACTGTTCTGATCAAGCTCCATGAGCTGCTCATTGTACTTGATACTGTCAATCCTCGTCTTCGTCACCCTCCCATGATCTGCCTCGTACCCTTTCAACAGGTTAACAACTTGCTTCATGTTTGGTCGCTTCTCAGGCTCGCTCTGTACACAAAGAGCAGCCACATTGATCATCTGCTCAACTTGTCTCTCGTCGAAGTTCCCTCTAAGTCTTCGATCCACCATGTCCCTGAACTTGCCTTTGCTTAAGAATGGCTCAGCCCACTCTGTGATGGTTCTCTTGAGCCCTCCTGGAAGCTTCTCGATGGGCTTCCTTCCAGTCACGAGCTCTAACAGAAGAATCCCGAAGCTGTAAACGTCGCAGCTTTCAGAGACCTTGCCCCACATGGCATACTCAGGAGCCAAGTACCCTAAAGTTCCCTTCACACGGGTCGTCAGGTGGCTTACTCCTTCTGGGATTAGCTTCGCAAACCCAAAATCAGCAACCAGCGGCTCGAAGTCTGAGTTTAACAGAACATTGCTTGCCTTTATGTCTCTGTGAATGATATGAGGCGTCACCTCGTGATGCAAATACCTGGCAAGGACAAATAGTATATGTTAGGTTGTGCAATTATGTGAATGTATAGTCAGATGAGAAGTTCTATGTCAAATAAAGTTAAACTTCATATTTTCTTAAGAATGAGAAGTAAACGCGCATTCTCCCTATGTCCCTAACCAGAGATATTGGAGCTAGGTTTTGTTAGGGACTTGCATAAAAAGAAACGAGGATGTTGAAAACCCGTTATCATGCACCCACGTTTGAAACCACATAATGGATCTATCTCTATGTGGCAGCGGTTTGGACTTGGATGTGATACAGTTTGTAACCTAAATATTGGGCTGGTCCAAATTGAATACAGTAGGGATCAACTTCAGTGTTTGTGATATCATTCGACATGATGAGCCTATATATGAATCATTCACATTGAGATAAAGATTGTTAGGTTGTCTAAATAAGTGTAGAATTAAGTTAATAATGTGAGAACTGCCATGTAAGATAAAATTGAACTTAATAGTAAATATATAATAAAATGACAGGGCCAACGTGAATTTTAAAGTTTTGATTTCAGAGATGATATCCTCCCACTATCCTTATCCAGTTTTTCTTGGATCGATTTGTTCGCTCCCTGTTCTTAACAGTGCATGTATATGCGTGTCTCAGTATATATATGAATGTGTGGGTGGGTGTATATGTGTGTGGTGTATATATATATATATTTATATGGGGTACTTACAGTAGGCCTTGAGCAGAGCCGATGGCGATGTTCATTCTTCGTTTCCAGTCGAGGTGGACTTCAGAGGCGAACTGGCCGTGGAGGTGAGAGAGGAGGCTGAGATTTGGCATGTAATCGTATACTATCAGTCT